TGCTGCAACATCGTCGGTCGAGGTGGAGGATGCCCTTGAGGAGGGTCTTGAGCATTCTTTAAGTGCCTGAAGGGCATCTTTAAAGGCTTCCGGGTGTTTAGCCTGAAGGGCCATTAATATGGCCTTAATTTCGGCCACTTTTTCCTTTGGTTTTTTTTTTTCAATTATTTTAGTAAGCCCGGTGGGATGCCGGGGTGTGTCCGTATCCCTCCCTGCCGGGTATAGGCAGGGAGGATGAGTGCCTAAATTGTGTGACCCTAGTGCGTCCTTGTGCCGATCTTATTGTGCACGCGGGTGTGTGCTTATAGCTAATTAAAAACTACCCGAGGGCGCTAAAGGGCCAAACGTGGACCACCGCTGACTAGGGACTACACCCAAGGCCAGTGATGGTGGTCCCTTCCGAAAATTCGCGGTTCTCAGGAGAGAACCGCAAGGCGATCGGGGCAAGCCTTGGCTAGCTTCGTTAGCACCGTTAGGTATTCACTAGCCCTAAGACGTTCAAAACAGAACCGCTGCTAAGCGCCTTGGTCGGCGCAGTCAAAACTGCACCTCGCAACTCGACTTGCGAGCGGGGTGCCCACTCGTAATAAAAATCACGAGTGAACGCGGCGCGCGGTGCGCGACGACTGAGCGTCCGCGGCGAGCGAGTCGGCACGCGGAAGCGGATAGGGGTGGGGGGTAGCAAAAGCAGAGAGAGCGCGTGCCAAGGCGTGCGTTCGTCTCGACTGCTGCGAGCGGAATGTGACCGACGTGAAAGGAAGTATTATACTTCTGAGTTTCGTCTGGTGAGTGAGGTAGCCGGGGCTCGCTTTATAAGAAGGTAGCGACGCATTTGCAACCCTACATATGGGTGTTAATGCAAATTTCAATGAGCGGCGGCTATCACTTAGGTGAACCGCCAGCTCGTTTCTTCTCTCACATAAAAAAAAAATTAAAGTAGCCCAGTTACGTATTCGGCGTTGAGGAAAAGCGAGAGTGACTGTTTTAGAAGAGTGAACTTTTACAGTTTAAGTACACAATGCTACTGAACTGTGTGTTTAACCTCGGTTTCAGCTGAATATTCACGTTCTCTCGTCGAAATGTTGTTTTCAATACAATTGAAGGAGCTGAGCGTTTAACGATCTTTTCAACAAACGATTGCAATAGTTTCAGCAGTTCATTATTTACGAACGAGTGGTAATTCAACAATGAGATTTTGAAAGTCTTACAAAATTCCTATAAAAACGTCTATAAAAACGCCAAAAAAATAATGTCTGTTGTATGGGTGTCCGGTTTTGTTGTTGTTAGTATAGTTTTGTTGTTATAGCGGCAACAGAAATACATCATCTGTGATAATTTCAACCGAAGGCGGAGTCCTAGTAATAGGGTCCCGTTTTACCCTTTGGGTACGGAACCCTAAAAATGTATTTTTGAATTATAATAATAAACATGTAATGAAAGATATTTTGCATGCGTCTATACATGATTATGTAGTTGTACTTTAATGGTATACTTAAGCTACAGCTTAGAGTGCAAAACATTTCACATTTTATTGCCTTTTAAATGTTGCAGGGAGCTCGAGTTCTCGTGACAAAGTAAAATAGACATTCTTTTAAAGCGGAATGTCAAAGAGACCAGAGAAAGCACTTATGTTATAATGCAGGCACTGGCTAACTCGAAGATAGTTTTACATAATTTTTATTTCTTATCTAACATTACTATGCTACACATTATTTCAAAGTGAACCATGGTACATGAGCGGATTATACTCGTGTTTCACGCAGTTCCTAAGATATTGGCTTCGGCGACGGGGGTCGTGGGTTCGAAAATTGTTTCGGATCTGGGTATTTGTCCGCGTGAAATTTATGTATGCAAAACGTCCTTGTAATACAAGATAATGTTATCCTTCGGTAAGGGCGATGATAAAGAAAAAGATCAAGATGAAAGAACATAATTGATTTTTGTAGAATTATTTTCTGTTTCTCTCTGCATATATAATTATATATAAACATATATTTTTATATGAAAAAAAAAATGTTATTTTTTCTATTTATATTTATAATTATGTATCATAATTTATTTTCTTTTATATTATCATTAATTTGTGTAATTTTAGTATATCTCTTGCTGCACCTACCATAAACTTTCACTACATTCTGGGTTGACTGGAAGAGGCATATAGCATAACGAGCGTTAAAAATTCGCCAAGACGAATAGTTTTGACGAATAGTTTCAGAATCATTATCATCATCCTGCTCGTTGTCAATGACATTCAGAAAGACAAAACCTTCATATACTTCAGGGGCAAGTTCTTCATAGATATCATGATGATAGGGTGAAGGCGCTGAGAATAGCATGTCCATTACGTTAGCCAAACGCTAAAGAAAATTGATTCTTAATTTATTATTAAATTAATTAATTATTCTTACAGCTGCAGAATATAAAATAGAGTGGTTCCTTCGAAAATGCTTTTGATAGTTTTTATTTGTTATAAATAGAAATGGTCTTATAGTTGGAGATTCGTATCTCTAGGTATAATTTAAGTAAGAGCGAACCAGAAACCAGAAACCGGGGCCATTAGTAAGATATTTAAACTAAAATTAGCTAACTTCTTTCTTACTTAAGACGTAATTATTGTAAATGAGATTTTAATTAAAATTCTTAAAACTTATATTAAAAAGGTATTATTTAATTATTGACTATTTGATTCCGAACTAATATTTATAAATATCAAAAATTAAAATAGTTGAATACGAATACATTAAACAAATGTTTTAAAATGTTAATTAACTTAAATAACTGTACTTCTGAGTGGGATTCGCGATACGCGATTTTTTTCTCTACACTCTCTGTTTTATAATACGTGAAAATAAGATTTAAAGAAAAGCAAGGTATTTAACTAATTTTCGCGCCCCTTTCAGACGTTCGTTGATATGTAGGATGCCCAGACAAAGGAACAAATTCTTATTACTTAAACCGTCGGAAAATGTATAAAAGTCAAGTAGTAGCTTTAAAAATATAAGTAGTAGCCGTCAAAACGATACAATAAAAATAAAATTTAATTAATGTCCGTTTATTGCAAGGAGAGAAAAATTGTTGCAGAATATTATATATTTCTAACAAGAAATTATGTAGCTTAACATCACCTCCCGTATTATTGTCACATTCGTACGTAGACTATGCCAACATAACTAAACCACGCGGTCGATGCGTCGTATTGCATGATAGTATGATACTTTTTGTAAGATGAAATATTTGGTCGATAAAGGGCTGTCGTGCCCCATGATTGTGAGCGGAAATTGGTTTGGCTTTGCCTTTGCTCCTGGGTATAAGAGAACATTACTTTCCTTTACATCTTTTGATTGCGTGTTCAATTTTCAACAGCGATGTAAAAACAACGACAAAGTAATTGAATGATAATAAACCTATTTAGAACGTAATTCAGGACCGTGTGTGTTTGTGATTTTGAAAAAGATAAATAAAATATACTAAAATATACATTTCTTTATCGAACGTCGAGAGAGGAAATACGTACAAGATCTTGTGATCTTGCACGTGTACTCTATACATGAAAAAAAGGTCTGCATACATTCGGTTGGTGTCCCATACAAACATGCCCGAAACAATGGAACCTACGATTTTCAGTAAAGTTATCATTTTTGGATAACGAAAACAAACTTAACATCATTTTCAAAAGTCGCTTTGTATATCATTTAAGTGACCTGTTATATTATCATCAATCATTTAGAGAAATTGTAAAGGTCTTTTTAGTGAATACCCTGTCTGAATTCTGTGTGCACAACTAGTGATCCATAATCACAAGTTGTGATTATGTGATCTTGTTCATGATAGGAAAATTATTACGCTTCATTATTCAGGATAGCAGTTTAATCAGTCGTCATGACTTTCTAGTGTGTCTAACACAATTATTTTCGAAATCAAGTCATGAGTAGTAAAGAAGCTCCCAGTCCTATTAATTCCTTTTTCCTTCAATTTTATCATGTTTTTTTTTGAAAAAATTGTCAAGCGAGCAGGCTGTTCACCTGATGCTGCCGCCCATGGATATCTTCAACAGCAGATAGCTTGCCGATACGTTGACTATCAGAGAAAACGCGAAAGTTTAATACTTCCACTTCAGTAGTACATTTTTTTAAATCACGGTTTTCTGTGAGATCGCGGTTCTTCCCCGGACGAGACTGCACATTAGTGCAACAGCAGAAGCTGTTGCGTTGCCCTACAAACTATTTTAAGACTAGCAATCTAAATGCCAGTAAATACGGCCTGCAATCTAGTTGTATATATATAACATCATACCTAAGTAATAGTAACTTGTTCTTCGAGCGATGTTGCCTACTCACTGCCACTTCAACTTTTAAATCCATAGAGCTATGTCAAACGAGCGGTATTGTAAAACGAATTATAAATGTTAAACATTTTTTCATGGTTCAATCGTAAAAAAAATTATCCGTCTAAAATAAAAAATACAAAAAAGACAATTGAATGGATTATTTGTTTCACGATTTGGCGCTGGCAAACGATACATCACATTGTATAATTTTTATTATCTTACCATACTAACTTATAAGAACATATTATTTTCAGTATTTGTAATATTTATTTTAGTAATGTTAATAGTTAAATATTAGTTCTGGGTATAATAAAAAGGTCAAAAAGATTCAAATACTGGTAATGTTAACCCTAATAGTCAAAAAATATAACTACCAGTTGCGGCCTGTTTTAAAGACAAGACCTCGTAATATTGTGACGAGATAACTCTGTTTCGTATTATTAATCTTATCTTTGTTGTTGGGGTCGCTAAGATATTGCAATTTGGTGAAGCCACTCACCAAAGCCGTCATTGGTTCTTTACTGTTTAGTAGTTCTTACGTTCCCAAGTAGAGCTGACGGGCGCTTGCCTTGATTGTGTCGCGAAATTATTATTAAATTATATCAAGGCACGTCTTCGGAAATGTGAATGAATACTGTTTCTATTGTATTTTTACGATTTTCACTCGGTCAAAATGCATTTGTTCATGAATATATTTTACGCTTTGCTTGTCGCGGCCATAAATGTTATTTATTTAGTGAATTGTGCCGTGTTGCATAAAGATATTTACCGGTTGGATATAGTTCACTACAACGATTTCCACGATCGGTGAGGAGTGTTATTAACTATTCGCTTCTAACGAGTTGGTCCTATGGTTGTCTTTCGGCTTAAACCGAGACTTATCTCGATATTTAAATTTTTAATGTTGCAGTGTAAAGTCAGGTTTCTATAGTAATAATGGGTATTTTTTATCCGATTATATATAAATAGTTTATCTATTTATTAAACTAAGAATGACTGTGGCTTTTTCTACTTTATTCATATTTTTAGATTTGAAGAAACAACAATTTATTATCCAGTATGCAATTCGAATGATGACAAATGCATTGGAGGATTTGCACGTTTATATTATGAGATTAATTCTTTATTAAATGAAAGTGATAACTCGCTTCTATTAAATGCCGGTGACACTTTCCAAGGGACTTATTGGTATACCCTTATGAAATGGAATATAACTCAGAAATTTATCAATTTATTACCGAATGACGTTCACGTAAGTACACGTCATTAAAGATATAAGTATTTATTAATTTATAATATATAAATATACCATTGCCATAAACTGATGTATAAAAAATGTTTGTGTAATGTAAAGTAGACTACTTAAAGAAAAACTACAGGGGCTTATTCAGAGTAACTAAATATAAGTAAATATTACCTTTTTACGTATTATTTATTTAATATTGGTGGAATTTAGCTGAATACAATTCTAACGCCATTAATGTTATAATCACTCTTAAAATAACCTCATAGACCCTGATTTTCTTCCAAAGATTAATCATAATCAATTTTAATTTCTGACGATTATAAAAATTCTAGCTATATAAGGCATGTAATATTAAGTAATTAATAATAATCACAGACTTTAGGCAACCATGAATTCGACGACGGCATACCGGGCATAGCACCATACCTTGCGGCACTCCAGGCTCCGGTTGTTGTTGCGAATATAGACACGAGCGCTGTGCCTGCTCTTGATGGTCTTTATAAGCCGCATATAGTTTTAGAGAAACGGGGGAGAAAAATAGGTATAATTGGTGTTATAACACCTGAGACAAGGGTAAGCACGCTGTGATTCATTCAACCAAATGTGCGTTGAGTGTTTTTTTTTTAAGTTTTATACTTTCCCAACAGACATCATCCAATCCAGGAGATGTAAAATTTTTGGACCCGATTGCAGCAGTTAAAAGTGAAGCTGAATTGTTGAATAGAAAAGGCGTAGATATTATAATTGTTTTGTCTCATTGTGGTCTTGAAGTTGATAAGTAGGTACCTAAATTGCAGTTTTTATCATATTTCTACAGGTAGGCTTTCCTAAGTGTATCCATTTTTTTTATTAAATTCAAGACATAAATAATGTTATATATAAAATGATAAATATTTAAAATCACTCGTAATTAATTATATAAATTCATTTGAAATTATCTCAAAATTGAGTGATTTATGGGCAACTCATTTATTTTACTCGCGATCATTCATAACCTACACGCACACAAGTTCGTTACAAAAGTATACGACGCATTTATGAATGACTGACGCATTGTCAACAAGTTCTGTTTTTTAGGGAAAGGAATAGTAATTTTCTTTCAAAATAAGTTTATTTTTATTTCAATAAACGATTATACTACTGAGCCTGAACCTCCTTTGTAAATTTGGGCACCTTTAGAAAAGCCACCCTGTATATATACCTAAAAATAAAAATAACTTTACGGTTAATATAAGCAATGTCTGCACGAGTTCGAACTGGTTAGTCGTTAATTTATATGAGAGATGGTAAACGAGCAGGCGTTTTATATGATATCAAGTGGTTACTACCGTTATTGCCAATGTTGAATTAAAATGTAAGAATAACTTATAAGAGCGTTTGCATTTGATATTTAACTCAACTGTAAGACAGTAACTTTTGAAAATCGAGAATTCATTATTTGTAAACTTATTATATCTTTTTTCTTCTTTGAACAAACTTGTCCTTATTGTAGTTTTATCTATATTCTTTTTTCGCATTTTTAAATAATTCTTGGCGCTTCTATTATTATCACCTTCCCAGCAGACAAATGATTTCAAATATTTTACTGGTTACAACCATCTTTGCTTAGTGGTTAAGATCATCTAGGCTCAAATGCGGAAGACATGGGTTCGATTACAGCTTTTCATCAATATGTTCTACAATTTTTAATGTTTCATCTTAAGTGCAGATATTAGTTTAAAAACTGTTCACCTTTTATAAATTATCTGAATTCATTAAGATACTAGTGATTATAATCTGTGTAATCATTATAATAACCGATCATAAATTTTAATATTTTTGAGTGTCATTTCTAGTATTGTAAAAGCAGCACCTCCTGCAATATGGATTGAGAGGGTTAAGTTACGCCTCCCCGCAGTTTTTATAAGGCCGACTTAAAAGGAATTTAAATGCAAAGACAGTAACCAGCTCCTATATTTTCCAATAAACTTGTCATGTTATTGACTATCGAGTACGGATGGGCTGCTCTGAATAATATTCTCACATGGATATATTCTAGCGTGGATGGAATTTAGGATTTCTATCCTTTACTAGATTTTGTATGATGTTGGAAGGCAGTAAATACGAGTAACAGTATTTTGTTAAATTATTTAGTGTCGTATTATATAGCGTACATATATAGCTAAAATGCCTCTAATTCATCCTTATTAATATTATAAACGCGAAAGTTTGTATGTATGCATGGATGTTTGTTACTCTTTCACGCAAATACTACTAAACGGAGTTTAACTAAACTTTAATATAAAATACCTTATTCATCAAAATAATACGTAGGCTATAATTTATGCACATATTTTTATGTATATCGGTCTTTCCGTCTGAAAGTTACGCCTTCAGCTTACGCACTTCTCTACTTCTACGCAGACGTAGTCGCGGGCAGCAGCTAGTGTTATAATATAAGAGAAGTATTTATTGTTAAACCCTACAAAATATGTAAAACATGGTTCTAATTCTCGTTTCTTTTTCATATATGTTTCGTCCTGTTCTTTTATGCAACTCTGGTAACTTGATGCTTTTCTCGAATACTGTACCATTCACTACTTAATTCATAGCTTGATTGATTTATCGCGCAGTCATAATGAAAGTACTTAAATAAACGTAAGACATTTGTTTTTTCTGGAAACGACACTGCCAGGTTGAATTTTTGTCAGACGTAGATAGTACATTTTTAAGTTTTTGTTTTACTATGGATTGTAAAATTATCTGAAATAAAAATATTATTATTATGAGGGGAAATAAAAATATGCTTTGTTCATATATTGTACTGCAATATCATACTAATAACATTCAACAAACTACTTATATGTTTGATGTAGCACAATAAATTTATAGTACATTCCAGAAATGCATAAATTTACATCCAAATGTTTTCAGACAAATGGCCAGAGTGGCTGGCGAAAATATAGACTTAATAGTCGGTGGTCATTCACATAGTCTGTTGTGGAACGGGGAGGCACCTAGCAGAGAGCAAGTATCGGGTCCCTATCCAGTAATGGTTGATACAACATCGATTCCTAAGCACAAGGTACGTAAATAATTACTACTGTTTCATGTTATTAAAATCAAATTGTTGCTTTAATTACTTTTACCTAATGTAGATAAGAAGACGTTGAGATTCTCGTTGGTATGCCAATGAACCGTTCAGCTAAGACGGGGTCGATTCCCTGAGCGATTACATAATTTTCATCCTTTCTTCTACAAATTTTAATATTTCATCTTAAGTGCATTTATTTTGTACATGAACATAGTAAAAAATAAACTATAAAAAAATTCATATTACAAAGTTATAAAACGATATTCGACTACTGACTAGAGCTTTGTCTCCCCTGGGAGAAAAAGGTCAAATACTTAGGAGTCACTTTCGACTCACGTATGTCATTTACTACGCGCATTAATAACGTTCGTAAAAGAGCCGCGTTCGTCTCCGGCCGGCTACACAATTTAACTAACGCTAAAAGTAAAATGCCCTTAAGGCACAAATTATTATTATATAAGACCTGCGTACGACCTATTATGTCCTACGCATGCATGACCTTCGCCCACACGCACCCTACTCGCTTGTACAAGCTGCAAATAGTACAAAATAAGTTTATCCGCCGCGCAACCGGTGCGCAATGGTATCAGCGCAACGCCGACCTGCACAGTGATTGCAGACTCCCGACGATTCGCGCACATTTTAAAGATTTGACAAAACGGTTCTTCGATAGAGCCCAGCATTATCCCAACCCTCTGGTGGTAAGCGCAGCAAATTACCAACCGGACACAAACGCGAACGTAAACAAGCGTCGCCCGCGAAACGTTCTCATCGACCCGGTCGACGAAGAGGACTTAGATACGATGGACCCACCGCCGGGGGTCCCGCCGGATAGCACTACACCCACAGTTAGTGTAACAACAATCACACCAGTTCGCCCTCGCCTCCGAGCACGGCGAGACCCACACAACGCGTACACAAGGTACACCCGCGTTCCGGGGCGGTTCTCACCGCTCCCAGCCACCGATTAGCGAAATGCACAGTCGACGGCCGTCGGGGTCTCGGTCCGAACCGCGACCTCGACGGCCCTTAGATGACACACCATAATTAAACGCACGCATGAGCACATGCGCGACCCTACCCATAGCGGAGGGTCCAAACCCGTGGGTTCTGGCTAGCCCACCGGTTCTGCGTCCGATGAAGCTTTAATAGTCTCGGGACTGAAAGCTAAAACATCAGTTAATACAAGATACAAGATTTGTATGCAAATTTTAATATTTTATGTTAATTGCATGATATTTTAATGATAAATAGATTATATTAATTTTTGACTCATATTATCCAACAGGTTTTGATTGTCCAAGCGTCAGCATTTTCCAAGTACTTGGGGAATATTACAGTGTTCTTTAATAGAAAAGGGGAACTTATAGATTACTCTGCAACGCCTATATTCCTTAACAGATCTATTCCAGAAGGTAAGTAGCGTCTTTAATACTGATAAAGTAATCATAAAGAATTTTCAATAAATGTGAATTTTATAGATTATTATCAATTGTGAATGACAACACCTTACCTAGATAATAATATTTATAATAGTGGATATCGCTAGGCCAATCGAAGTGCACAAAAACACCAAAAAAAGAAATAATAATTCGTTTTTAATAGCTTACTACCTATACCTTTATATCCTTATCTATAATTATTTCGTATATGCGGCTGGTAGTACAGGGACAAAATTAATTCTTTATTGAAAAGCGAAATATACAGGGTGGCCGGGGAGTTGACGTTCAAACTTTAGATACTTTACGATGAGGAGTCTCCGAATCACCCCCATGTATGTTCTACGATTTTTCGTAGTTTTCGAGATAGAATTTTTTTTAATGTTTTTTCGTAATTTTCACCTAACACCAGTTTTCGATTTTTTTCTCGTTCTGTTGAACATTTCTGGTTCAGTTTTTTTGTGATAACTAATAAGCATAGTCTAACCTAAGACCCTAAAAAATATGGTTTATCTAGGAATCGCAGAACTTACTTAGGATTTTTTGAAAGTTCTAAATTAAGATTTGAGCTCAGTACTCACTAATTTTCAAATATTTTATTATATTTAAATCTTTGACTTTCTTCGTTGATCTAATATTTACAAGATTAAATCTATCTAAAATATCTTTCTTTGCGTTATGATGGATTTGAGTAAATAAATAATTAAATTTCGCAGTCCCACAGAAATGCACAATCTATAATATATATATATATATATATATATATATATATATATATATATATATATATATATATCTCTATAGAGATATATATATATATATAATATATATATATTATATATATATATATATATATATATATATATATATATATATATATATATATAATATATATATATATATATATATATATATTTCAATAATAAAGAAACAAAATTTGTTACATCCTATACAACTACAACTGACTGATTCATACATTAGAGACTTTTTCATTCGTTGCCACAGCGTCGCATTACAAATCTCTCTTTCTAACAGTATGTTTTATCTCTTTTAAATTCATTCAAACCATTCATATACTTTGTGACCCTTACAAATGAACTTTATTTTACAGTTTTATACTTAAGGATGTTCTAAAATTGTTTGTTTGGAAAATTTAATAACTCGGTAAATATTCATGTTTAAAGAATGTAAATGTTTCTCTATATGTGTGTTCATTTACTGTCAAGGTTGTAACGACACGTTGTATATATAATAAATGATAAGTCATGGACAATTATTTAACTTAATTTTAACGTGATTTCAAAGAATATTCGTTTTGCAGACGCGGAAATGAAAGCGCTATTGAAACCGTACAAGGAAAAATTGCATTCATTAGTGACGGAAGTGATAGGATCCGCTACCAAAGACTTTTTAGCGCCGAAGTGCGGGTCAACAGAGTGCGCTATAGGTAATTTTATAGCGGACGCCCTGCAGGACGCTGTAAGTAAAAGAAATATAACGAAAACAATACTTTATACATTATCATTGCAATGGGTCATGCCTTGATTAATATACATTTTTCTTTTAATGGGAATTAAATGGTTGAGTATATACTTTGTAAATCAATTATGTTTGTATATATAATTGCTATGTATGAATAATTATTTTAATCATTCTTTTCAGACACAATCATTAAACGTTTCAAATCTAAATCATGTTTCGATTATCTTAAGAAATATGATCCGAGGATCTTTGGCCAAAGGAGGTTGTACTAAATTTATTTTTACTTTTTAGTTTAATTAAAAAATTGAAACTAAGTTTAACCCATTCCCAGTGATTGATTTTGATTTTGATTTTGATTTTATTAGGACAACACGATTATTTAAAATAGATACATTGTTTAAAATAAATACAAGGTTTGCAGCAGGTTTGAGTTTTTCTTACAGATATAACGCGAGGGGATATTATTAATGTAATGCCTTTTACAAATAAAGTCGTAACGATTGCGTTGCCTGGCCGGTATTTAATCGATGTATTCAAAACCTGTATGACTAACTACTGGGTTGCCAAACCGTTCAGCGGACCGTGGATGCCGCATGTATCAGGTAAGATTAAAATATGTCCTATATACGTACTACTTCATTAGTTACAAATATTACGGCCTCACAGTAATTAAATTATTAAATTATGAATATTTATAATACCGAGAAATGTTATGAAAATACATTATGAACAAAAAATCTGCAAATGATCGAAACAATATTTAAAAAAAATAAATAAATAAGTAAATCATTTTTTGCACATAAAATATATGTGTTCCATACTTTCGTTACGGGATTAAAAGTGCTATATTGTTAATTCAAAAAACAATTTGTGGAATTATGTGCTTCTACATCATAATACACATTTTTTTTTTATTTCAGGTCTCAGCTTAAAATTCAACCTGACGCAAGGCGTAGATATAGATGTTAAGGTGAAGGATGGAGATGCGTTTCAAGATTTGGAACTTGATAAAGAATATCAAGTAACCACGATAGAATTTTTAATAAGGACTGGAAATGATTTTGAGGTATAAAATTGAAATGAATTTTAATACATTACCTTAACATTTAGACACGAGATATATTTTGCTATTTTCAAGTTATACTTCTGGTGCGTATGGAAAAAAGTGTGAGTGTAAAATTTCAACGAGGACCGCACACCTACAGCTAAAAAGCGACTAAAGTTGCAAAGCGAACAACTACGAGCAACTTTACGGTCTTACCATGACAATCAATGATAATATAGATGATGCATGTCCTAATTGATGCATGCCCTGATGCCTGTCATAGTTTAAAATCCATAGTTTAAAAAATACGCTTTGCATTATATGATATATATAAGCGAATGTGACAAATGATGTAAAACGTATGATACGGAAAGAGATAGCAGTCTATCAAATTGCAATCTATGTACATCAATTGTCGTAATTTGAGTACCTCAGATTCGATGCGCTAGTTAGTATCACATAAAAATCGTTTTTGTATATATATATATATATATATATATATATACCTATAAGAGATTTCCACCGATAATGATATTTTAATTACATTGTCATTTCATTAATCTCTTTTTCACTAACAAAAAGTCTTGGCACAGGGATAACATTTTTAATTATTTTTAGGGTTCCGACTGTCTCTCCGTCTGTCTGTCCGTCTGTCCGTGTCTGAAATGTGATAGACAGTTGAAATTTTTACACAGTCACGATGTATTTCTGTTGCCGCTGTAAAAACAAATACTAAAAAAACTGGAAAAAATATAAAAATGGGGCTTCCTTACAATGGACATGATGATTTTACCGTTTTCATAGATGGTACGGAACCCTTTATGCGCGAGTCTGACTCCCACTTGGCCGATTTTAGTTTTTACGTTACGCTAAAAAGTATAGATTCTTACGTGCTTACATAAATACACGAAGGTTTTGTTCACTTCTTTAACCACGACACGGCAGCCCGACCCCTTAGACGATCGAACCAATTCAATTTGCAACCTTTGTTTTGATTTCAGGTACTGAAACGCTTCGGGCGTAATTTACGAGTGGTTGGAAAAGATACTGATGTTTTAGAAAATTACATAAAGAAAATGACACCAATTAAACCAAGTTTACAAAAAAGGCTTGTAGTAATAAACTAGGTGTGTTCTATTTACCTACCTGTTTTTCAATCAAGTGAGACCACTTAACCTGAACGTTATGGACAGATTATCTGAAGTCCGTGATAACCTGGAATATAAGAGTAAATATAAAAACCTATTATTTTATATATTTTCTGATACCATATATACATATATCGCCATTTATAAATCCAGTGTTGCAGAGATAGGCTTACATTGTAATATATTGCAATATATAAATAAGTTTCAATTATTTTCATTGTCGACAGAATTGTGATAATTTTATTTTTAGTATTTAATAATTAAATAGGATTCTTTTTATTTTTTTTTAGTTTCTTACATATCTGTCGCCTTTTCGTGTTTCGCATATAAAGCTGTAATTTATTGCACATTTCAACATCACTAAGCACTATGGACTACTAAGTCTATTATCAATTCACCGACAAATGCTCAGCATCTTCAAGTTTTGGACACCTCGTTAGAGGAATACATTCCGTTAATTGGAAACGTGGCCACATATCCGTTTTAATCACCTCGAAGTGTTGAACAGAACTTGCCCACAAGATATAATGATAAAAACTAAGTAGCGAATCTTAAATAAACCCGATTTTATTTTGATTACAACTGTTATATATTTTTATCTACCGTACTAACTACTACATGACATGAACAGAACCAATGAGGTTACTAATGAAAGATATCGTGATTTTTTTAATGGAAAAAATTGCCCTAATACATTTTTGCTACAACAAATAAAATTTTCTAGGTAAGATTTGTTACATAAGAAAATTTTATTTCATTACTTGAAAAATTTATAGGTTTATATTGTTTGTGATTCCAATTTCATAATTGAAACATTGCTTTTGATTCAGCTTACAACATTTATTGATCCATATTTTAAATTTATAACGAAGTCCTAGAGAGAACGGTCTAATTATAAAGAATTCAGTACGGTTGATGAAAGGTAGCGGGGTAACGTTTTCAAGTGCGGTTCAGACATTTATCTGTGGGACCACAACAGTTAAATTCAAATGAAATCGCTTTGATCCATGCTTTATTTATTCGCATTCTGTGAATTATAAATAAAACAATGGCCCGTTTATTTTTTTCTTAATCCGTCTTAAAATTGATCTTAAATGCGACCGAAATTTCGTTTAATTTTAACAGCCATCATCTGTTTCATTAGCTGTTCAGAAAATGGTTTTATACATCTATTTCTACCTCGATTCACTTGCAAAGAGAAGGTTATTTATTTTATAAGTGTGGCAATATCAAATTGTCTATATTATAAAGAGGAAAGATTTGATTGTCTGTATGTATTGAATAGGCTCCGAAACTACTTAACCGATTTGAAAAATTCTTTCACTGTTGGGGAGCTACATTATCCCTGCTTGATATAGCCTATATTATATTTTCAAAATACTTAGGGATCCTTATTAAAACTACAATAATGTTACTCAAGGTGTACAAAAATATTCATTATAACTAAAATATTCTTTACATCGCGCGCGCTGCGAAAACTATTGATGATAGAATAAAATAATTATAACTACGACTTTGTAGAACACATCATTATTTCCAAAAAGTGTCGCGACAGCATATGTCTAACTATTATAGTTATGCCACAATAAGTGTTATTTTATATTAAAATTTTGATTGAAATGCCGCCGCTAGAAAAGGCTGTTTATTTGTATCTTGGTCTTAATCTTTAAAAAAATAAATTACTTCATATTTAAGACAGTTTCAATATCTTTATATAACTTTTTGAATTATTCAATTCGGAAATTCCATTCCTTAGATATTGCAAGTTTAAAAATGTTAGTATTTTGTAATTTAACTATCCAAACAGCTTAGTGACTGACTTAGTAGTTCTTATAATTTTTCAATCACATTTATACTGGTAATTCCTGTTCAACATCATTTTAAAATGACCAGAGATCAGGATCTCATCTTTCTAGAAACTTTTTCTAAACTTTCTTCCCAAGCGAGGGCATCAAAAATACGTCGTAATGAGGAATCTTTACCGGAAACTTACAAGTCGGAGAGAGTCAAGTAGTGTTTGCAGTGGCTTGAAGAGCAAAATAATATTAATATACAAATTCACACTAGGGAATCGAGCTCTGAGCGTTCCCAACGCCTACGAGATTAGAGAGAAAGACAACAAATGTCAACGACCAGAGGTCGTAATCGAGCTTTTTTGCATTATGCTCAACAGTCTTCCCTCCAATTCGAAGCGATGAATAAGATCTGCTCAGTGTTCTGCCTAAAAAGGTGTCGATGAAATAAATGGTATGTGCTGTGCTTCTGGAAAAGTTAGTCTCCCCAATATTAAGAAGCCGCCACAGCCAATAGAAAATCATTTGATAAATAATCATTCACCATCTGGACATTTTTAACCAACATCCGAAAGTACAATAGCCTCTTTCAAATGACTTCGTTTGACGCGAACTTTTAAAATAGAGGGACAAGTATACAAGTCATCAACATCTTCCTGCCCCTATCCCACCTAAGTGGGGTCGAAAGAACATGAATCATGTTTTGAGCGGTTTTGGCCATATTTTTACAACTAGCCGCCTGCCTGACGTTAAACCTCCTTAGGAAACCAACACCCAGATCAAATTTCAACTGTGTTACTATCACGGCATATGAGATACAGCCTGTTGACAGAGGAACAGACAGACAGCAGAGTCTTAGTAATAGGCTCCCATTTTACCCTTTGGGTACTGAACCATAAAAAGGCCCCAGAGATATAGTGCTGCACGGTAGACACGGCCATCTTAAAAGGGTCTCCAAGTTACACCGATTACTTGATCCACTACAATATCCCTTAATCGTCGTAATGGAAGAAGACGGTTATTATTTGACTATTCCTCAGTAACGTTCAGTGCGTAACAAAACTGTGACATGCATGCAATTTAATGCATTTAGGTTGATGGTTAGCTACCAGTTTTAATAATCCATTGCATATTTACAGTGACTTATTAGGGTTCCGTACCCAAAGGGTAAAACGGCACCCTATTACTAAGACTCCGTTGTCTGTCAGTCTGTCTGTCCATATTTCACCAGGCTGTATCTTGTTATGTAAGTATGTGTAATACTTCTATATTGAATAAAGATATTTAAATTTGATTTTTTTTATGTGACAAAGTGGCAAACGAGCTGGCGGTTCACCTGATGCTAAGTGATAACCGCTGCCCTGTAGGGCAACGCATTTGCAACACCTGTAGGGTTGCAAACGCGTTGCCATGTTTAAATAAAGTGGGCCCCGGCTACCTCTCTCACCAGACGAAACGCAGAACTATGTATAACACTTCTACTTTACGCCTGTATTCTGTGAGGTCGTGGTACTTACCCGGACGAACCTGCCCATTCGTGCAACAGTGAACACTGTTGCGTGGACCCTACCACAGTGAAATTACTACCAAATGGAATGGTACGGAACACTTCGTGTGGGACTACGACTCGCACTTGGCCGGTTTTTATTCAATACATTGTCGATATGATGGCAAAAATGATACCAGAAAGATTGAATTACATCATCATCATCATCATTTCAGCCCATTTGAGTCCACTGCTGAACATAGACTCCCCCACAGACTGCCATATTAAATACATACATTGAATTACATATTATGTCGTAATCTCTAGAGACTGGGGCTGGTGAAACATTCATCTTAGAGACGCTTTAAATCAAGACTTTGACCCATCAAATATCGTTCAATGCTAAATCTGCAACGTCATATTCATTTACAGGTTCTCCAAGTTATCTGCATTAAAAACATGCTATGGGATACCAGACTTGTTTGTCATTTTTACGTGTAACCCGGAATGTCCCGTAATTAAAGCGGAACCATTATCTGGTCAGCGGTCTTTCGATCTTCATGACATAATTTCAAGGGTATTTCATTAAAAGATGAAGAAATTCATAAAATTATTCACCAAAGACGAAATATTCGGAAGGTTTTATGTATGTGTGTGTTAATTTTTAATTTTAAAATTTTTGTTAAATACCCGTGCGAAGCCGGGGCGGGCCGCTAGTTGAATTAATATAATAATGTCATATACAAACTATAAATTATATCACGTTAATGAGTATACGAATCTAACTAGAACTCATATTTATTCACGTTGTCGTAATAAATATTACAGACAAATTACCTTCCCCTCTAATAAGATATTCGAAATTCCAATACTATTATAATATTACTGCAAAATCTTATAAAATATTATTAATAATTTTATGTGAGAAGGTGGCAGGCAAGCTGGCGGTTGACCTTATGTTAAGTGATAACCGCCGCTCAATTTCAATTTGCAACACCCGTAGGATTGCCGATGAATTGCCATATATTAATAAAGTGGGCCCCAGCGTCAATAACCAGGTGAAACGGAGAAATATGGCACAGCCCACTTCACACCGGTTATCTGTGAGGGTTCCTAGAACCACTACGGTACTTCCCCGCATGGAGCTGCTCATTCGTGTAATAGCCGAAGTCATTGCGTAGACTATTCACAGAAATCCTCGCGCCGTTTTGTTACTGACATTAGGAGCCAAAAGCTCGAGCTTTTGCCTCCTATTTCCCTTCACTACGATTTTTGAAACAGATTAATCTGAGAATGTGTTTTTATTGAAACATATGTATATGGAACATCCACTACGTTTGCATATATATGAACTGAAACTCGCCAGGACAGGATAAACTAAGATTTATGAGAGCGCAAGCTGTATCGTTTTTATTTGCCGAAGTCAATTTCTACAAAAATAAAATGTTATTGTAGAATTTACAAGATATACGTCGTCCAAACATGTACTTGTTGTTACGAAACTATTAAATATTAATGAGGATAAATGATACATTGCTCCTGCAGTGTATGTTTTTTCAGTATCAGCCTATACATGTCCCACTGCAAAGGCCTCCTCTGTACAGAGGGTCCACCACGCGGCCCCACTGCGGATTGGCGGACTTCACATATCTTCAAAATATGTTTTTTTTATTATTATTTCGAAAATATGCAGGTTT